ACGAGATGGCACTGTCAAATTAACAAAGCTGGAAACATGGCCAGCCCGACCACCTCTTTTTATCCTGAGCACCTTACACATAAGATGTCCAAGAAATGTTTGTCGACTTGGTCTGATTGGGAGCTATTCAAATCCTTATTTCATGTCCCAAAGAAGAATGAGCTTGTTTCATTTGAGCTGGGACCCAAATGCACTAAATGAATATGAATTTCCTAAATCCCAGTACTTGAAATGATTAAGCTTTCATCATTGTGCTTCGTCAACCACCTTTAAGTTAGTATTTGATTTGAGAACAGTCAAAAAAAACTGCTTTCGCAAAACTTAAATTCAATTAAGACAAAACAGAAAATAAGACAATTTAAAACAATTTTTTTTGAAGCATATTTCAGGGGAAATTCTTTCTCTGTGTACAATGGGAATTTTCTTATATTTCTATGCATCATTTATTCTGTCTTGTCTGATGAGAGCCCTTGATTTTTTTTTTTTTTTCATATCCTTTGTGCTTCTGGGAACCTCTTCACATTTCAGAGGGAGGTTGGAACTATGTCTGGCCAATCAGAAGTCTTAGACTGCCCTTGCCACAATGATTGGTTTATGGTTATACACATGACCCAATCAGAACTAACAGAGTCAATGCTGGCCTATTGGCTGAAGAAACTGAAAGAGTTCATCTAATCTCATCATGTTTATTTCTTGGACTGTGAGGGACTGTGGCATGCTGCAAATAACACTGCACCAACAGATAAAAGGACTTGAGTTTTAAAAACTTGGCTTTGCTTCCTACAAGCTGTGTGACCTTGGACAAGTCACTTAATCTCCTGGGGTCTCATTCTCCTCATCTGCAAAATTCCTTCGAAGTTTCTGTAAGGATTTTATAAAAGATACATCTGTGGAGCCCCTTTATATGTTACAATGCCTTACTGAAACATCAGGCCTTGCCTTTTGTCTTCACAGCAGCCCAAAATGAAATTAGCATGTAGGGCTGTTTGGATCCAGTGCCCTAAAAAACAAAAACACTCCACAAGAAGAAGAGAACCTGAGGCCACAGAATGTCACAGCCAAAAAGGAGCTTGGGTGATATCTGGTCCAACCCCCACATTTCTTCAGTGAGAAAACTCACTCTGTCTACCCTTGAAAGGGAGGAAATGAGGTAAGAACAACTATTGCAACTATTCAAGCAAGTTCCCCACATTAACTTAAAGCAATCAGATAACAAACTATGGCCTTTTAAGACAAAGACCATGCATGTGTTTTTGTAATGTGGTTATCTTTTCCTGTGGTAAACAGCCTCATCTGCGGATAAATGACAGTTACAGAAAAAAAAAAAATGGATTGACCAGTCATTTCAACTCGTCCACACAGTTCAGCCATCTGAGTTCTAAAATGGAAGGAAAAGAACTTTGCAATTGAAAAAATTGCTGAGCCATGTGTCTGAAATGCTTTAAAAAATCACAATGGGGATTTTATTTTTTTTTCATTTTCCCTGTTGGTGAGAACCACTCCTGCCAAGAAATTATTTGCCAAATGGTGACCTCATTTATGATGCCGGTAATGTGATGTTTAACAGCTGACATGTGACCAGTCCTTAAAAAAAACTGGGTCCCTTTGCTTACACAACAACAGAAATGTTGCAAAAATTCAGAGATGCACATGGAAAATTCAAGAATTTAATATGAATAAGGGTTACTAAAAGTCATATCTGGTCAATTTTTCCTCATTGATTTATTTATTATTTTATTATTATTACTTTTTTAGAGACAAAGTCTTGCTCTGTTGCTCAGGTTGGAGTGCAGTGGTGTGATCATAGCTCACTGTATACCTTAAACTCCTAGGCTTAAGAGATCCTCCTGCCTCAGCCTCCTGAATAACTAGGACTACAGGACTACAGGTCTGTACCACTATGCCCAGCTAAATTATTTTTAAAGATTATAATCATAAAAACCCCTAGTACTCACTATGTACAGAAAGCAGTTTATGTATATTAAATAATTTAATCCTCCCCTTTCTGGAAAACTGGGACTAACTCTATGAAGTGGGTGCTGTTTTTATCATCCACAGGTTTGAAGTGAGGCCCAGAGAAGTTGAGTAACTTTCCCAAACTCTCACAGCAGGAAAATAGTAGAGCTGGGATTTGAACCTAGGAACTTGGCTCTATAGTGAGGCTGCTTAACCACTCTATTATACTGACCTTTTTGTGATAATCTTGCACGTGGAACACTTTATGTTTTCTTTAAAAAATAACTTATATATGAAATTAAAATGAATTAAAACATCTGTTCAAATTTATCTTTCTAGAACACTCTTTTAATAACAGCATCAAGAGAAAGCAGAGTAAGAGTGCAAGATTTGGAGCCAGGTCACTTAAGTTGACACAACTGACCAGCAGCTGTTTTGATCTTGGGAGTAAGCTCCTGAAACTCCCTATGCCTCAGTTTCTTTGTCTGTAAAATAGGAATAAGAGTGGTACCTAAATCCTAGAGTGTTTGCTGGGGTGATAGTGAAATAGTTTATGTAAAGTACATAGCCCAGCCTGGGCAACAGAGCATGAAAAGCCATGCTCCACCTTCCTACGAGTGACCTTGTTCATCCTCCTGGAGATGAGTTATGATCTCCATAGAATTCTAAATAAGAAAATATTCCAGGCAAATTGGAAAAGAAAAATGACGCCCTAGATTTACACAAAAAGGAGACAGAAAAACCACACAGTAGTTCAAAAGCTCTCCAAATTAGTGCTCAAGCGTTATATAGGAAAGTTAACAGGTATGCACCTGGCCAACCCCAGATTTTAATTAAAACCTATATTTTAGGCCAGGCATGAAGGCTCATGCCTCTAAATGCCAGCATTTTGGGAGGCCGAGGCAGGCTGATCACCTGAGGTCAGGAGTTCGAGACCTACCTGGCCAACATGATGAAACCTCATCGCTACTAAAAATACAAAACCTAGCTATAGTGGTGCATGCCTGCAATTCCAGCTACTTGGGAGGCTGAGACATAAGAATTGCTTGAACCTGGAGGCGGAGGTTGTAGTGAGCCAAGATTGTGCCACTGCACTCAGGCCTGGGTGACAGAGCAAGACTCAGTCTCAAAAAAAAAAAAAAAAAAATTGATTAAACATAATTTAAAAAAAAAAAAATTTTTATTAGTCAAAATATGATGGGTATGGCCACCCAGCCAAAAGAGAGAACTCGCTTAATACATATGTGCTCTCACACACATACACACAAACACATACTTCTTAGCATTCTGTTATTTCATTCTACGTGGAAGCAGCAGGATGTGGATGCAGATGGATTTTTCATGTATTTCTCTTGGCATTATAGCCATATTTAATGTCACATCCAGTAAAGCAGAAATTTTAATTAAGTTTATGGCCTGACCATCTGTATTTGTTTGGAATTTCTGCCTCTTCAAAGCAAAATGTAAACCTGGCTTTAGACCTGGAAATATCTGAGGCTGCAACCAAAAGAATTAATCAACAAACTGCAAATGTCTGGTCTGAAAATATAAAATAAGTTTAGAAGAGGTTGAAACCTATTATCCAAATATCACAAAATACCTGGATATGAATTATGTAGTCACTAACTTATTTGGATATGCTTCAGGGAAGATGAAAGGAAATTTTTATATATTTTCAAGGGAAGAAAAAACTATCTCAGCATCAATAAACTGCCAGAGAGTCGTCTAAGTGCATTTTATTTATGTCTCTGGGTTTTGATGTTGTTTTTCTTTTAATCTTAAGTTCTCGCATTTTGTAAATGAATAAAGCCCATGCACAATTCATATTTAGGTTTCTTTTCTTTAAAAGAGTGAAAACTCACTAATGTATATCAAACAAGAATAGTGAATGTGGCCAATATAAATTAGTAAGAAGCATTTGCATGAACTTGGAAGCAATGACAAAACACTTAAAATACTCTCTATTGTATAGTATAGGCATAACTTGGACCTGCAGCCTCTTGTCTGCCTTTGAGTGGATGAATTAAGCTGCTCATAGTTCAACTTTGTATTCTCTGTGAAATGCTTGTTACCCAAATTAAAGGTGCAAATAGATGCCCAATTTGAAATGGAAAATCTGAATGGAAACCCTAAAACAGCATTGCTTAGCTCCCTACTAAAATACATATGATGGCAAAAATTCACAGTGCTGAAAACAGAGTCTCCTCGCTGCCAGAATCTGGTAGACCTTCTCAATTCTTGTCTCCAGAAAAAGAAACTGTCTACCTGGGTAAAAATGCCTTTATCTTTCCACCACCACCATCTTGCCCCATGAATTCAAGCTAAAAGACCAGTACAAGTCCTAGGCCAGGGAGAAAAACAGAAACTCTGTCCTCTTATAGGACTGTTGCTTTTTGAGGTAGTCAGGGCCCTGTGTCTCCCACTAAACTCTCCCATTTCCAAACTAACTTTCTTCTCCCAACCTTATCCATTATATATACTCACAAATTTACTCATGACACTGTGTGCCATGCCAGAAGCTATTCTAGAAGCTAGGAAGACAGCAATAAACAACAACAGCAACAACATAGACTGCTTTTGTGAAGCTTGTCCTCAAGCAGGGCACAAAGCAATAGATGTTCTGTTCAGACTCATGCTCTGAGAAAACAGCTCGGCAGGAGGTAAGAGTGAGATGGGAGTAGAACATTGCACATGGGGAGATGTGGTCTCCACCAGAAAGTGCTGTAGTGGGAACATGAAAATCCCATTTTTATGTGGTCCATCCGTTCAGAGTGATAAACCCCAGGAACTGGGTCTCATTTAATACAGTCCAGCAAAGCAGAACTAGATTAAAAGCCTGCTAGACAACAGGGAGATAAACCTGTTCTATGTCAGGTAAGATAAACCACAGTTAGAGTATGGGGGACAGGGAATGCAGGGGTAGGGGGTGGGAGTGAGGACAGGGTAGTCAAGGAAGGCCTCCTCGAGGAGGTGACATGTGAGCAGAACCCTGATGGAAGAGAGGAAGTGAGCCACGCGTATGTGTGGGGAAGAGCTGCCCAAACCTGTGCATGGGCGTCAGCCTCCGCTCGGTGGCCTCTGCTCCTGTTGGTTTGCTCCGTCAAGGCCAGCTGTTTCTGCCAACAGCATCTCCACAGCATATCTTCCTGCTTCTGTACTCCAGAATCTTCTTTAATACTAACCTCCCCAATCCCTGGCAACAGACTTTACGGCTTACCTTCATGGTAGTAGGGCTGCAAGAGAAAGGAAAAAAAAACCTGGATTACACAGAAAGTAAGGATAGCTGAGGGGTTTACAAAAGTAGTATCCACATTATACCTATTCTAGAAAAATTATTAAATTTAAAATACAAATATGAAGAACAAAAGGTTCTACAAAAGGATACAAATCAGGCTTTGCTCAGTCTTAGCCTTTATAATAGTAAGTTTTAGAAGACAATGAAGACTTTAAGGAAAGAGTCATGATGCCAGAATGCACATATATGTATATATGTATGTGTGTGTACATATATGTGCACACGTGTGTATGCACATGCACACATATATGAAGACAATACCGCAGTAAGTCATTCTCAAGTTTGTGACATCTCAGATAGTGAATCATCCCAGTATCTTCAGGAAATTTTTAGAAAATATATGCAGATGACCAAGACATATAGGACAAGTAAGACCTCTGGAAGAGGAAGTTGTAGCTAACAGATCAGAGGAATCCTCATGTACTCACGCTGGGACCTGGAATCAAGAGCGCCAGCTGAAGGCCCACGTGAGGGGGCCAAGCATGGCCCCACAGCACTTCCTTCACCATTGCCTCTTCTGCAGCTCTGGCCTCACTTTCCAGTGCCAGGAAACGGGCTTGTTGCACCATATCCTTCAACTCTCGGTTCAGAGGAAACCTTCTGCATGTTTAGTGGCCACTTAAAGCAGGAATGAATAGTGTTCTCTTCCAGTCCTTGCTACGTGGGTCACTCTGTTAAGAAACTGAACCAGGAGAATTACTTTAAAAAGGTATTTTCCGGCCGGGCGCGGTGGCTCAAGCCTGTAATCCCAGCACTTTGGGAGGCCGAGGCGGGTGGATCACGAGGTCAAGAGATCGAGACCATCCTGGTCAACATGGTGAAACCCCGTCTCTACTAAAAATACAAAAATTAGCTGGGCATGGTGGTGCGTGCCTGTAATCCCAGCTACTCAGGAGGCTGAGACAGGAGAATTGCCTGAACCCAGGAGGTGGAGGTTGCAGTGAGCGGAGATCGCGCCGTTGCACTCCAGCCTGGGTAACATGAGTGAAACTCCGTCTCAAAAAAAAAAAAAAAAAAAAGGTATTTTCCCTGCACAAAAGCAGAATGACATAGTGCAACCTAATTGTCCTTTTTTCTGCCATGGAACATGAATGATGGTTTTCTGTGTCTTTAAAAGTCATACTGAGACTCCTGAGTCATTGAGGTTTAATTGGGGAAGACTACTAAACCACCAATAACAGATATGATCTGTCACTGAGCCTCTTCACACCCTTTCTTACAGGATCTGTGCACATTAATTAAACTTCAATCCAGCATAATCACAGTCATGCTTTTTGAAAAAGGAATTTTAAGAAAATGCACCCAAATGTTAAAGGAAGGGATAGTTTCTCTGGGAGGTAGACTTCTAGGTGATATTTTTTCTTCTTTATATAGTTAGCAGGTATTTTAAAAACAGATTTTTTAAGAACCCAGCATATGCAATTGCACATATACCGTGTAATTGCAACCACGTAGAAATTAATACAGATGCTTCTCGATTTATGATGGGGTTATGCCCCAATAAACCCATTGTTAAGTTGAAAATATCATAAAGTGAAGATGCATTTAGTACACCTACCCTCCAGAACATCATAGTTTAAACTCGTCTCCCTTAAACGTGTCCAGAACACTTACGTTAGCCTACAGTTGGGCAAATCATTTAACACAAAGTCTATTTTATAATAAAGTGTTGACTATCTCCTGTAATTTATTAAATACTATACTGAAATGTTTGTGTGGGTCCTTGGAGTATGATTTCTACTAAACACATATCACTATTGTGCCAATGTAAAGTCAAAAAATCCCAGGTCAAACCTTCATAAAGTGGCAATTGTTTGAACGTCAAAAGAAAATAAATCACAATGGATATCTAAGTGAAACTATTGATTATTTTTTTCCTTCTCTTCATTTTTATTTTCTAAATTTTCAATAGGAGCATATATTTTATCTGTAATTGAAAGAAATTTGTCTTAAATTAAGGTGGTGGGTGATTTGAGCATGCTTAAAGAGAACAAACAGACTGCTATTCGGATGCCAAAAAAGTGATTGCTAAATTATAAACAATTCTCATTTTCATCAAATCAATCAGGCAGTTTTTACTTATACTTCGAGTAGAAGCCAATGTTTTTAGTTGCAAAGAGCTGAATTGCTTCAATAATAGAGTTCAAACTGCATAGGCCTGTTTTTTGAGGACATTAGTAAAGCTCTATAAATCTTTAATCCAAATTTAGAAAGATGTTCTGTAGGAAAGAAGGTTAACAGACCCTCAGTTGTAGCCTCAAGATGGATTAAGGAGTCAGATCTGTGCAGCTCCAGGCAAATCCCACCAGGTGCACAGAAGGTGCATCAACCCCTTGCGTAGCTCACCTCATACAACCCAGTCCAATTTTGGATGTCAGCTCATTCCTTAATTCCCCTCAGACCTTGGGATCTAAAGTTAGAAAGCCTGTAAAGATAGGACACTTGTCTGCCACACTTACTTCGGTATCCTAGAATATGGGAGGTGCTCATCAATCTGTGGGACTGAAAAATCTGTTCAAGTGCCCGACTTCACTGAAGGATTAGAAATAACAAAGAATAGCAAAGACCTTCCCCGCGGATGTGACTGCCAGCAGAGTTATAAGAGCAGTGCTTCCAGAGGAAAATGGCCTGCTAGCACTCTCTCCTTCATCCCTGGCCTGTACCCACCACCTTGCAGTGGCCAGCGCCTTCCCCAGCAAGAGCCCCTACACCAGTTGTCTTCTCCCAGTGCCCAGGCCCCAAACAATGCTTGAAGCAAAACTTTGCAATTCACCAACTTCTACCTTCCAGGATAAAAAGTTCTGACATTCAGGAAGACCCTGCCTCCTATTGTCGAAAGGACAAGGCATCCGAATCCAAGCTGACAGTAGCATCTTTTTCACATTTTGGAACATCCGGTATAAAAAAACACCAAGAGGGAATCACCCACAGAACTGAGGGGTTGGGCTCTGAACTACCAGGCCCCCCTCTGTGTTGCCTTCACATCAGCAAAGAGAAGCTAGGCTCCTCCACCCTTTGCTCATGTCCACCTCTGCCCCAGCTATCCTGGCATAATTGTTTGGTCCTTTGGAAACCAAAACAATGTCCAGATTCATAGTAGCCCAAATCTATATTAAGAACAAAAAAGCATTTCCTTAAAGAAACACATTGCCAAGATTTCACTTCACAATGAAATCGGCCTTTACATTTCTTTGCTGATCAAGTTAGTTGTTCATTGTCTTAAATCTTTCCTCTTTGGAAAGGAGTTTTGCTTTTCATTTACATTATCAAATAGCACATTAAAGAGACTCCCAGATAATGTGTTCTCAAAGTGGAAATCGAGGCACACGCTCTCCAGCCCTGTTTCTCAGTTTGCCCACAGCTGCCCTGCCTCAGAATGACGTATGGAACTCTTAAAAGTGCAGATTCCAAAGATTTTCTGAGTCAGAATTTCATAGGGATGGGTCCCACAATGCACATTTTAAAACAAATTTCCTGAGGAAAAAGCTATGTGGTTTACATGTTTCCTGTTTATTGTGATAAATAAATGAACATTTAAAAGTGGGGAGGAGTTTCTTGAACGATTCTAATGCAAACTAAAGACCCCACTGTTTTGCTCTAGAAAAATAAACTAAGGTTTAAAAAAAAAAAAAAAAAGCCTGCTTTTGCTGGGCCCACTGGCTCATGCCTGTAATCCCAGCACTTGGGGTGGCCAAGGCAGGTGGATCGCTTGAGCTCCTAATTTCGAGACCAGCCTGGCCAACATGGTGAAACCCCATCCCTACAGAAAAATACAAAAATTAGCTGGGGTGGTGGTGCATTCTTGTAGTCCCAGACACTCGGGAGGCTGAAGCATGAGAATCGCTTGAGCCTGGGAGACGGAGGTTGCAGTGAGCCAAGATGACACCACTGCACTCCAGCCTGGGTGACAGAGGAAGATCCTGTCTCAAAAACATAAACAAAACAAAACGAAGTCTGCTTTTCCCACTTCTCTTCCATGTTTTCCCATAGGTGTTCCAAATTTTTGGGGTGCAGACTCAGCTGAAAATCCTGTTGTACCTCATTTTACAGATAGGAAAAGGCATTCAGGAAGTGCTCATATGCAGACTTTGTAAGCACCTTTGTGGTCAGACTTCATGATGGCATAGGAACAGTCGTCTATTTGTTGACTGCTTATGTGGTCCATGTACTTTACATACATTATCATATTTAATCCTATAAATAGAAAAAAATCTTATAGATGTCATTGTCCCCATTTTGTAGTTGAAGAAACTGAAGCTCAGGAAGAATTTGAACTCAAGTGTGTTCCTTCATTCAAAGCCTGGGTTCTTCCTACTGCATGCAGATGCCTGTCATCCACCCAATAATGTTTAACTAGTTTTCTCTTCTTTTGTTCTAGAGTTATTTTATATTTGGGCTTTTCACCTGCCAAAATATATTCTATATGCTAATTGATACCTTAAATTACATCTGTAGGGCTATCCCTTTGATTTAAAGATTTGTTTTCTGCTAAATTCACCCTTTTGGTTTTTGCTAAAATTCCCTTTTTTTTATTCTTTGGGCATTAATACTTGATCAGTTCCTGAAAACCTTTTAATAAGGAAAGGGTGGCACAAGTCTGAGACGCTCCACCTGGCAGGTGGAGGCTGTAGTGAGGGAAGGGGGTATCTTGTCACTCCAGGGAGGCAACAGTGATCAGTGACTGTTACCCTCATGGTTTTACCCACAACCAGCTTGCCCTAGGAGCATATATGTATGTCTTAGAATCCATGGTCACGGGTAACAGTACTGTTATGCCCACAGCTGATTTTTTCAGAGGATTTTTATGTGTAAAATGGCAAGGGGGAATATTATTTGCCTGAAGAGAGACTAAGAATACAACTGACATCCATTAAAGTATGTTTGTTATTGACGCCACATCTTTGTTTTAGGCCATAAAAATGAGGCGCATTTGGGTTGTGATTCAATGTGGCAAATCAATTTTATGAGCTTTTGCTTGTAAGTTAGGCCATTATCAGGCCCTCCATTGTTCAAAAAGGAAATGACACAGAGAGTTTGTTTCACAGCTGAGAAGGTAGTGGAAGGCCAGAAGAGCAAATCGAAGTTTGGGCATTTGCGTCTTTCTTTCTTTATTTCCACTGGAGTGTGGTTTTCAATTGCAAGCTCATGAGGTTAGGGATGGTGTGTGCCTGGGTCACTGCATTATCTCTGGTGCCTAGCACCACAACTAGAACAGAGAAGGTGATTAGTCAACATTTGCGATGAATGTTGAATTGAAACCTTTCCGAAATCCCGTGTTAGCTTTGTTACACTGATTTTGTATTTTCTAACTTCTTGCAGTGCAGTAGAATTGAATGCAGTGCCAATGTCTTAAGTTGCTAAATATCTGAGGACATACATAAGATTTCAAACATCCTTTTTTTGTCATTAAAGATGATGTCACTGGGAAAAAAATGTAATAATATAGAAATATGATAGTTTAGAACAGTGTTGAAGGATGAAATCAATCCAAATTCAAAAATATCACAATGTTTGTTACTATTTTTCTCTTTCCTTTTGTTCTGGAATAATATTGCTTTGCTCCAGAAACAATGACTCATTTGTCATCTGCATTATGCTCTCTTCCAAATAAAATAGCTATGTAGAATGGATTTATAAACAAATGCCTTCTTGAGTCTGAAGACATGAGGATAATATATTTAAG